AGTTCACCACCAAACCTGAGCGTTTCCTCTGGTGTACACGTTTTCTTCCAAGTGACACTTTCCATCGTTGGGAAGCACAATCCCGCCTAATTTGCCGTCTCCAGCAAAGTGGAAACCAGCATCTGTGGAGAACACCAGCAGCCGAGTTACATTTCTCCAGCCGATCTGCTCCTGCAAAGGGAAGAACATCAAACAGTCGATGAACTACCGACTGGTAGCAAATTGAACACCATGACTGACGTGAGTGCTTCTGACAGGCTTCGGGAGAAGAATTATCTTTCTGCTTTTTGCGCGTAATCAAATGACTGCGAATGAGAAAACGCTTTATGCCTTCTCGCTCTTTAGGGTTTTAAATCTGAAACCTGAAATTTATTAAAATTAAATTTGGTATTTGACAACACATAATGACTCTGAAATACACCCCAGAACTGACTGGTGCAGCGTCCCAAAGGAAGCTTAGTATTCTGAAAAAGCCCTCTCATCTATTGTCTGCAGTCTTTCCACTTCCTCCACAAAAGCCGCCCACTCAAACAACAGCAACAATCTCTGTATTGCAGTCCTGCTCCCTGCTGGGTTTCCTCACTTTACCTCGCACATGGCGGCCTGCATCAGGGCATCCAACCCACCCTCCGGCGAATCCAGGTTACCGGAGATCCGCTGCCCCCCTACCAGCTCTGCGAAGCGGCTTCCGTTGGCGGTGAGGCTCAGGACGTGGCGGAAGGTGAACGGAGGGGCGCAGGGCCAGGGCTTGGTCCTCTTGCAGGGATTTGCGAGCATGCCCTTCGCGGTGCTGATGTACGGCATCACCGTCTTGTCCACGAACGCGCCAAAGCCTTTTTTGGAGTGGAAAACGAATGGAGGGGAGTTAGAAGTGGCGGAAAGTTTTGAAAAGTGATTATGGGACTGAAGAGGGGGAGTGGGGAAGCGAATAACTAATGCTCTCCCTTCTCTCAGCGGCTGCCAGTTGTCCTTGAGCAAAGCACTTAATCCCCAATCGCTCCAGTGGTGCTGCTCAGTGGCCAATAGTAAGATTATGATTGTACTGGGCAGCTCCCAGGTGTGTAACTACGCGAATGTGACACAAGGGTATACCGTAAAAGGAGTGCGGCGGCGGCGATGAAAGGCTGCAAGAAAAATGATGTTAGCCTACATTTGGGGCGATAAGGACACACGTGAGGCAGACGGACCCATTCTGAAGTCGCTGGTGGTGTTTCTCATTTCTTCCATCAGGTCGGCCCCCAGCTTCTTGACATTGGGCAGGTCGTCCTCCATGGAGAAGGACAGATCCATCAGGTAGTACAGGTCTATGGGGTAGTCCTCCACGCGCTTGAACTTCACCTCCAAGCTCTGGGGCTCGCCTGCACACGAGCAGGGCGGGTGTTACTGACATGAAGAGTCACTGTACATGTAAATCACAGACAGGTAGCTGCTTAAGGCTCATTCTGATGTTTGTTTAGAGTCTATGCTTTTAGTTTAGTGGCTTTAAAAAGTATTCAGTTGCATATTTTATTGCATTTCTACACTGAAGCACAGTCGGTGTAAATTTGGCCCAAAAAATAAACAAAAAAAAAAAAAGATCCCTTCATGTCAAAGTGAAAGCGGAGTAATGTCAGTTATCCATCCATCCATTATCTATACACAACCATATACAGACAACCAAGCACACTCACATTCAGACAATTTAGAATCACCAATTAACCTCAACATGTTTTTGGACTGTGTGGGAGGAAGAACCCGGAGAGAACCCACGCTGCACGGGGAGAACATTCAAACTCCGCACAGAAAGATCCTGGGCGTTGAACCGGTGACCTTCTTGCTGTGAGGCAACGGTGTTAACCACTGCTCCACCTTGCAGCCCATGTCAATTATTAAAAATAAAAAAAATATAAAAGAACTGACTTCACAGGTATTGATCCACTTCAATCAGTATTTAGCCAATAGACCTTTGGCCGCAATTAGTGTTCCAACTGTTTTTTGGTAAATTCCTGTCAATATATGAATTCTATATTTGTATACATGTATTATGTTTTACATAGAAAAAATATGCATATAATTTTTTAACTTGTTTTTTCCCATGAATTTTTTTGTTGTTGTTGTACATTTATGTCAAAAAGGCCCCATTTAGGTATATATTTACTTTTTATGTAAAATTTTATATGGGGTTTAATTACTTGGATCACCATTCAAGCAGATTGGTTAAAGAAAGTTACTGTTTTTCACAGTAAAATAATGCATATAGTGCCTATAAAATGATTTCTTTTCAGGTACACCGGGTTGGAGATTTCTAAACTCAGCTGTTGTACCTATAGCTCTGCATAATACCTCTTCATTTAGGAAAACAAACATCAAGTTGGGATTCTTAAGGCAGCACAGCTTGTGGAAATATCTCCATATTGTATACTGTGCTTTTATCAGCTGTTTCCTGCCAACTTTTCTAACTGACTTGTTAGTGCTTGAATTTCATACCGCTGTGAAAGTAACAGGACAACAAGAAAACGTCCCTGTCATGTGGAACAAAGGCGGTTTTATAACACCCACCTGGCCTGAGATGCATCAGGACGCTCTGAGGCTGCAGCTGCGTCACCTGCTTGTGCCACCGTTTCTGTCTTTGTTCTTTGGGGTGAAAGGTGATCTTCTTGTTTTTTAGAAGGACGGTGGAACCTTTAGGATCCTCCAGGCGATCTAGAGGACATCCCCTCCTTAGCAGCTGCCTGGCGGTGTCACAGCGCTCCCATGTGGGCTGGCCCACTTCTAGAAAAGTCTTCACACCGGTTTAGGTTCAGTTCAACCAAGTTATGCATAAGTACGCTATGTATGTATTGATTTATTTCCTGGACGCCCTCAGGAAGAGTCGCTACTGTTACCTCCTATATCAACACCCACCCCCAAAAAAACAAACAGAAATTAAATGTAGGAAGACAGCTAAGACGAGACAACGCTGCAGCTATAGTGCCAAACAGCAATTTGCATAAAGAAATATCTGCGATGCAGTTAATGACAGTGATTTAGAGAGGATGTGAATGTCATAATGAAAAGCAGCTTGGGTGTTTGTTCTCTCTTTGCTCACAACACGCCTGCATCCTTCAAATATGCAAATAAATGTAATTAAAAATGACACATACATTCAACACTTGCTTATGATGGTTCCCCTTTTCAGCACTTGCTTTTATGGCGTTTACGTTCTGACAAGAGAACATGTTTACACGGCTGTTCAAAAGCACATGTAAGTGACAGCATAATATCTGCCAAATATAATCTAAGCCCTTATTAACACGCGGGGTGCAGGATTAGTCAGTTGCATCACCGCTTAAAAACTTTTGTCTTCCCATCCTCCTGGTTTTGTCAGAGAATATCCAAAGAAACCCAGTTTAGAGTTTCCAAAGTCTACTTATTTTGTAACTTTAAGCCAAACAAAGTAAGTTTCGTGGTCAAACAAATGACTGATGGAGCCTTTACACACACAAAAAAACTACAATTCACAAAGAAGTTATTGTCATTCCCCACAGGCATCACTCGGCTAAAGGAACTGAAGTGGAGCACCGAGAAACTTCTCTGTGACCCTAAAACGTACACAGCGCTGAGTTAACAGTGATCCCTTCGAAGAAGAAGTCATAGAGTATTTCCGAGGCCACTCACCTCCTCAGTACACCAAGCACAGTGTGGCCCGGCTGCCAGACATTCTCCACAGCTCCTGACCCCCTGACTTTGGCATTCGTGATCTGAATGGTCTGTAGGCGGAACAGAAAGCAGCCAAAAGCTATACTTTTTTTTTTGCGACGCATAAATGCACCGTGCCGTGAGGTTAGCTGAGCACGTTCTGTTTTTTTGGGAGTGGAAGGGTTCCCTTTGGACGTCAAGGGAGGTTCGGATCAGAGTTCCTTCTTCCCTGATTTGTTGGTTTTTTTTAAAAGAAGCACAAAACCATCAAACATCGATGTTCATCTTTGTTGCAACTTTGATCTCGCAATTTGTGTGTTTATCTTGTATTTTGCTCATCAAAAATACAACCTCACAAATTCTATTTGATGTAAATGTGTGATCTGAATCAAAGCGCGGTTTGTCTGAAGTCCAATTAGCCACACTGGGCAGCCATACATACCGACAACACCCATTACACATGAGTTAGACACAGATTTTACCCTCTAAGAAAGCAAATCAGTTCTTTTTCTAAAACTGAGCTCAAGAATATTGTGCAAATCTGTATTTACTGGACCAGAAATGGCTGTTATATTAAAATACGAACACTTTTTGTTTTGCGTAGGTGAGTGACATAAACATATTCTCTTAAATGTCAAACATTCCATTAAATTCTAATTTGATTCCAGCCCGTTTCATTTGATCAACATGACACTCTGCTGAAATGCCCCTCGGAAGTAAATACACCTGCCGTCCCATCACGTTTGAATCTCTGCTGCATTTAAGGGAAAAAAAAACAAAAAAAATCAGAGCCGCTCAGCCCCGAGGAGATGACAAGTGCAAATTTTTGAGTGGCAAAACAACTGGTGGGATCCAGGCTACAATCTAAATGAGAATTTCAGAGCGGGAAGAATAATGAGACAGTTTACTTTCATTGCATCCTCAATGAGGAAAGTATTGACCCACCTTGTGTTCCTGTGGCGTCGTATCTGCAGCACAATAACAGGACAACGGCAAATAGGAGGCTCATCTGGAAACAAAGAAGAAGAAGAAGGAAAGCAATTTACCGACGAAAATGTGGAGCGTTCTTTCCTCTCGAATCATTAAGGTGGAGTGCAGTTGTAATTGCTGTTTAAGGGAAATAATCTCCAACACAGAGCGACTCACACAAGACTGCATATTTGACCCACTGGGTGTTTGGTTTATACAACAAGAATAAGAGGCACTTACCTTGACTGATTCAACTTTGTGCAGGCAAACATGAAGGGGAACCCGGGTGTCTTCCCCCTGGAGGAGGGACCAGATGGTTCCTCTATACATCCTCCAGCCGAGGGGACTCCTCCACCACCACCACCACCACAGCTCCCCCCCTCCCACCACCTCCATCCGTTATCCTCTTTCTTATTGCAGCCACAAGTGGATCTGCCGGCTTATGTTTCAGGGTCCTGAGCAGCAAATGATCTCTTCAAGTAAGGCCAAAGATAAAGAGAATAAGTCCTTGGCTTTCTGCTGAGAGAAGCCGAAGAGAAAAGAAAAAGACACTTTCTGTCATACTTGTCCTCACATCGCACGAGGGGGGCCGGCGCGAGAAGAGCTAAAACGCTATCGTCTACAATCTTCTCCACGCTCTGCTTTTCTCAATTGTTTGGCCTTGCTGACCACTGCATGAGGCTAAAGCCTATACAGAAGGATATTGACCCAGCAGCACACAAGCTAAATGAGTTTTGAGAGCAGGTTTCTTGCTCAAAAACAGAGTTTTTTTTCTTTCTCCCTCCCAGCAAGAGCAAGATCCTTTTCAAACTTCAGATGTCCGGATGTGCGAGATAGAAGTCAGATAAATAAATAATACGACAGCTAATGGCAGTTTTGTTTGCATCCAGCTGGTTGAGGTTTTATCCCACACACAGGAGCCGGGTTTTTCCCAGGGCTGTGTTGGAAAAAATAAATTAGCGAGAGATCACATAGCACCACGGACTGAAATAATAGGAGGATTATCTTGCAGTCCTCTAGTAACAACCAGAAGTAAATACGTATAGAATTTCCTCGAGATCAAGCAGCTTCCGCTGCCCACTCTCAACCTACTGTAACAGCAGAAGACAAAGGAATTAGTCAGTGTGCAAAGGAAAAGAAGAAAAGGAAATGGACAATATGTTGGAGTTGGTTTGTTATTTCCTTTTTAAAAGATAAAGGATAATGAGAAAAAAAAAAGAAAAAGGGGCGACCACATTCCATTATTGCTGACTTCTATTTGGTTTAATTCAATTCAAATTTCTTTATCAGTCCGTGAGCGGAATTTTTTATTTATTTTTTTTCTGTTTGCAGTTCAAAATAAAAATGCAAAGCAAATCACCTCTTCCTCAACCGCGCAGTCAAACATCCTCTGATAACGCCAAATATAGAGTCAGTTGCTCGACGCCACGCAAACAATTTCGGGGGAAAGAATGGAAAGTTTTCTGGCGACGCACGAGGCTGTGTGATTCTATAATAAACGTATATGAATATAGAACAGTCATCAAAGCACACGGAAGGAAGATTTTCTTTGCCCACGATCGTCCTACTTGTATATTTTTTTTATATTTCTTTTGACTTGCTGACACATTAGTTCCAAAATACACCAGCAGCTCTTCGTGTTCCTCCCAAAGAGACGCTGAGCTCAGGTCACTGAGCAGAAGCAGCCATTGAGAGACATTAACAACCCTCTGGTGCTCTCTTTTAGAGAAATAATACATGAGCCTCCTCCAAATGACATCGTGCATATTCACAATTTAGTACGTTTTCACTAAACGCAGTCTTGTCGGAGTGGAGTTGGCTGTTTGTCTTTAATGTGAACCAACAGGACGGCAACTTGCAGCAGCAGCAGACGAATTATATCAACAAATTAACACTCATTAACATGGAAAAAATTTAAATCAAGGTCCATTTGTGGACTTTTTCTGGATCTTTCAACCATCCATCCATTATCTAGACACCGCTTAATCCTCATGAGGGTCGTGGGGGGCTGGAGTCTATCCCAGCTGGACAGGTCACCAGTCTATCACAGGGCTACACTTAGAGACAGACAACCAAGCACACTCACATTCACACCTACGGACAATTTAGAATCACCAATTAACCTCAACATGTTTTTGGACTGTGTGGGAGGAAGCCGGAGAACCCGGAGAGAACCCACGCAGCATGGGGACAACATGCAAACTCCACACAGGAAGATCCTGGGTGTCCTCACCGGGACGCGAACCTTCTTGCTGCGAGGCAACGGTGCTAACCAACTGCTCCACCTTGCAGCCCCAGTGCAAACCAACAGGACTGTAAATTGCAGCAGCAGATGAATTATACAAACAAATTAACACTCATTAACATTAACAAAAAACATAAATCAAGGTCCATTTACGGACTTTTTCTGGAACTTTCAACCACATTGCATGAATTTCAGTGACCTTTGCTTACCAAGAAAGCAGAACTTTTAGAAAAAAGCAAGATTTTAAATGACAATATTTGCCATTTTTTTCAGTATTCTTCAAATGAAGACCACGAGAAGAGGTTTAGAGTAAAAAAAACTCACTAAAAATTGCTGTAAATTGGCCTTGAGTCAGAATATTTTTTATTAAACTGTAAAATATGGCGGAAATCTCCAGAGAAAGTCCAACAGGTGGACTTGACCATGAGAACATTTGAGAAAAAACTAGTAAAAGCATGTTAGGTTGTCGTATTTTTAAGGTGTTTTCCACATTTAAGGGAATTATTAACATTACTGAGCACGTACAAGAGACATTGTAATTCATAGTCGCTGCTTCAACCCTCAGGCCACCACGGCGCCCCTTGTAAATGTATTTCGCTGTGTATGTAATTGATTATTGATGTTAAAGACATGAACTGCACCGTAACATGTTTTCTTGATTGATTGAACTTATTAAACGAAAAGGACTTGGACTTCAGTGGCTGTTGAAAATTGCACTAAATTGTGTTTTCATAAAGTAATAATTCATCACACAAACCATAAATACACTTAAAGTATTCCTGAGGTTATTCCAAAAGCAAATGCAACGTGCTCTTAGATGTCAAAAGCAAATGATCCTGCAGTCTAACGCAGACTATTCTTCAGCTCATCCCAGTGTCCGAGCAGTCCATGCATTCATGCATGAGTCACAAATGATATAACAAAACGGGAAAATCCACAACAGACACTCTGTGATGTCGCTGAATAAGGCCGGATTTCACTGGTAATTATGTTTTCCATCCTACTTGCGTTTTAATCCACTCTCACAGCTTTCCCCCCTCCTGTCACACGCAATTTTACTTGAAAACTTCTCACTAGAAATGCTGTTGTTTACAGCTTACATAATGTTTTGGGGGAAGAGGAGAGAGAGAGAGCGAGCTCTTTATACCCAGAGCTTCATTTTAACTTGATAGAGGCCTGTCAACAAATATATCTGGATTGTGCTTTCAGTGGTTACACAGGACTGTGGGTGCTCCTGTAGGAGGAGTAACAACAAAGGAGGAAGACAAGAGCGCTGTCACACTCGCTTCTTTTTCCTCAAAGTATGAAAACAGTCAACCTTCCTGCTGCTTCTTTGTGGTGGCGAGTTTGAATTGGATTTAAAAGTTAGGGGGGAAAAAAAAGGAAAAAGATCAGAGTGGAAGAGGCAATTTTTTTCTACTTTTACATCATCCTGGCTAAGATTAGCTCCTATTCCTCAAATGATGAATTTCTCAGTTTTTTTGGAATGAAGCTCTTCGCAGGCAGGTAATGCTGTGACTCATAATGATCTAAATGAGACCTTGAACCCATTAGCCTGGGCTGTGTGAATAACCAGGGGCGAGAGATTTTGTGGAGGTGGACAGCTCTGTCTGCGTATTGGCCCTGGACCTCAAAAGTGAAGGATTTTTTTTCACCCACAAGAAAACTGGTGGAAGATGGAAACCAGCCTTTAGGGGGGAACCTGGGTTATTACTCCGGTAGAAAAGCCTGACTGAAATCCAGAAAACTTTCTTGGTCAGAACACTTAGGCTCCATGTTTGCTGCTCTGAGGGTTGTAATCGCGAGCAGCTTCGATGGAGCACCTGGTTCCATACCCCTCATGAGCCTTGTCATTAATCTGACGCTTTAGTTGCTGATGCTCCTGATGCCCTCTGGCTTCAGGGCGTCTGACTCATTCCAGCTGCTTTGCTTGACTGCTGCTGCTGTTGGTTTTTTTTCTTTGGCGTCGCCGGAGCTCGGGCACCGGGAGGAGCCGCGTGACGCCCGCTGCCGGAGGTTCTGGGAAATAGATCGATGCAGGTTCCTCATGGAGGCGCCGGCTGCCATGGTGACCACCCAGGGGTGTCGGATTGCTTGGTCGGCAGTGAGGCGGGCGGCCGGGTCCGACACCAGCAGGCGCGCGATGAAGTCCTTTGCCAAGTTGGACACTGAGGGCCAAGGCTGTGGGATGGAAGAGGAGGAAGCAGCGTGAGTACAAAAGCGCTCGCCTCCCCCCAGAAGATGTCAATTCACGTACAGACACTCTGGAAACCCGCAGCGCTCCAAAAAGCCGGGTATCTAGACGAGGCGCCTGCACAGATTCAAAGCCTCTTCAAAGCGGGATGCAAGATTTCATTCTAACAAAGCAATAAAACTATGATCCCTGTGCTCTGCAGGCCTAACAAGCAGAACTAAACTCAAAGGAAAGCTAAATGTCACTGGGCAAAGAGAAGCAGCAGTCTTGGCTGAATGGATACGAAGACTGGGAGGTAGAGCGGCTCTGTCGCATGTGTGGGATTTGGGTGCATGTTTATTCTTAGCCCGCATTAGCTTCACAACAAAAGAGGAGCTTCATTGGGATCCTTTTGCTATTTCTTTTTTTTAAAAATTCAAACATTCCCCTCGTCATGACCCGAGCTGACATTCAAGAATCCTTTTGAAATCTGCCATGCCATCTTTCCAGTGGGAGAAGGAGACATCAGCGTCATTATCATAATTCAGAATCATTAAATTATTCATCGCGGCTTTGGTTCTTTGTCATGGAGACAACATTGTGGAGGCCCGCCTCAGGAAACCGATGACCTTTGCGCCTCCATCTAATTTTAAATAAAATATTACCGATGCAGACGTGGAACTAGATTGATGTGGCATCAGATTAAAAAGATGGCCGAGACAACTGGTGCTGTTGCGCGGTAACCTTTATCGGCGTCTAGAAAGCGAAACGCTCCCTCTCCCGTTGGGTTGTGATCGAACGAAGCGGAGTAATAATAATGCGACGGCTGCTTACTTAATCACTTCCGTCTCACTCTCTGTTTCCACAGTCACCACCAATTAGCTCAAATATTTCTCCGCCGCGTTTGGCCGGGGAGCTGAAGAAGTTAAATACAGTGAAATCTCTGTGTGCAAAAAAAAAAAAGAAAAGAAAAAAACCCTCTCTCATTCTCCGCTCAACCTCGCACAGACTAAATCTCGCTCTTTAGGGAGGTCTCGCTCTCCATTTTAATCCTGAAACGCATTTCTCTCTCCTTTTTCTTTTTTCTTTTTTTCTTTTTTTTTGTCTCTCGCGGAGTAATGACAATTAATCAGGCATGAAATTGACAATCGCGAGACTGTTGCCGGTGAGAGGAATTCAAAGAAGCAGGGACTTGCTTATTCTCACAGTGTAACTGACTGGAGAAGAAGAAGAAGAAGAGTGTGTGCAGGCACAGCGGAGGTTGCTGCCAGAGTCATAAAAAAGAAGAAAAAAAAAACCCTTCTCACTCAAACTTTCCTCTCATTGTGCTGTTATTTCACACCTGAGAAGCAGGCAGAGTGACACCGTTTGATTGAGCTCCCGCGACTTAACAAGGCCGACTGTCTCCCTCCGTCGGTGATTTGGCGATGCCCCTTTATTACCATGCAACATCTGATGGCGAGCGGGCGCCTTTTTCGTCCTTGATCTGGAAAGATGGCGAACGCGTAAGCTCGACGCTTTCTGCTCTGTCGGAATTATGCAGTAAAAAAAAGTCTTTGATGCCACTGCTGAGGGGTATCAAAAGTTTTTTCCCCTTCCTCCTCGCACACCTAAAGAAGAAGAGACATAACCGAGTTGCTTTCCTGGAACCGAGCCACCTGCAGGAAGTTTATCTCTCCCCCTTATTTTGAACATTTTTCACGTCAAAATACACAAAGGCTTTATTGCGTTTGGAGGAAAGGGGGCGAGAGCCGGTGTTATACATCACTGCTGAGCGGAGCGCTAGCCAAAGAGGGGAGGGGAGACAGAGTGGAGTGCAGATAGGGCATAAGCAGTGGAGAAACCTACAGGGCTTGGCTTATGAGAAACATCTTGTTAGGAGCTCTGTCGACTGTGTTCGCGCCACATCTTTTTACCTGACAACGTCGTAATTGCAACAAATGAAGAAAACGCTAGAAGGTCGGATTAATGCGATCAGGTGGGTAATGCACTTTTGAGTAATGAACTGCTCCACGCAGAGCGTCCCCGCCTCGCAAATTTACCCGACGCCCGATTGACCTGGCAGCGTTTCCTGAGCGGCGGAGCCAAGTTTAAATACGCCTTCATCATAATGAGCGCAAATGGGGGAAGGTGGCCCCCGTCGCTAATTCGGGTGAAAGTTGCAGCTAAAAACCCACAGTAATCAAAATATCAATACTCGGATGCTCGGAGAGATTGGGCTGTCATGTGTAATACACTGTGGCCAAGAAGAGGAAGAAGAGGAGGAGGAGGAGGAGGAGGTCGGCTGGGTTTGTTCACGTGTTCTGCACTAGGGGGCAGACTGGGCTAAACCATTACCCTGCTTGGCCTGTTTGCTGAGAGATGTAGATGTTTGGGCTGGCTGAGGATAGCAGCAGAATGCAGAGGAGGCTGCAATGCAAGGATTTGTGCTTTACATACAGAAAAAAAAAAAAAAAAAGGCTGCACACACACAGAAAAAAAAAGCGCTCATGCATTCACACACAGATGAGATGTCCTGATTGCGTGCGGGGGGGAAATGATCCGGCCTGTCGGAGTGATAAGGTGCGAAAAGCCCTCCAAGCTGCCCTTCTCGTCCTTTTCCTACCCAGCAACCTCCTCCATCAATCCCCGACTCCGACCCCCACCCCTCTACCTATTGTTGGGTAAACAATCCACTACTACAGGTCCTCTGGCGAAAGGGGGCTATAGCACCTGTAGCAGGAGGGGAAATGAATGTGTGTGCATGTATTGTTTTATGTGAGGTGGAGGTGGGGAAGGTTTGCATTTCTGAGTGAGTCTCAACCCCTCCCCGCAGCCCACCCACACTCATACATTTACCAGGACGCCCCCATTCGGATTCAACAAACACAAGAGGTTACAGGTAGTTTTTGGAAGAATGTTTGCGTATTCATTTGCATAGTGCAGAAGAAAAATCTGTACCTGGAGTTAATCCTTTCTTTCTGTTTTAGCTGCAGTGCTTTTTTCAATACATATTTATAAATGACAGTATTCTGCAGTCTGCTATTGGTGCATAACAAATGCATGTGTTACATAACTGGGCAATCTGTTGGCCGAAAAAAAAAAAAAAGTCTAACGCATGGATATATAGAAATGTGTTGACTCATGTTTGACCTGGGTAAAGTGAGGCTTTTAGACTGTAAATGAATAATTCACTCCTCTGCTGTCAGTAACTATGTCCTTGTGAAGTCTGACACCATGCGTGACATTGGAGCCATTTCCACGTCCAAAAGCTTCTTCAGAAAAATAGAATCTGTGAACTCGCCCGTGATCTCTGCCTTTTTCAGCATTCGGGGTTATGTTTTTGCACAAAAACATACGAAACGGCTCCAACTTTTTGGATTTTTTCCCTGGTTCTGGATGTAGCTTTGGCAGATGATCAGTCCTTACTGTGTCTCATGTTACCTCATTTGATTGAAGTTAATGCATTTTTCTGTTATTTCTAACCATTTGACGGACAAAAATCATTTCTGGAGCAGGTGATTTTTCTTTAGCCCTCACTAAAACCTCTTTGGGGGCACCAAAAATGCAGGACAAACACGGTTTTCTTGGACGTATAAACCAGCCAGGTTGATGGTGGTAATGAAGTTAGCCTATTTAACAAAATAAGCTTCGTTCTCGACATAAACACAGGGTCGCTGAGTGAGCTGCAGCGCCAGAAGCGAGTGCCAGCAGTCTTGGCAAGCCGTGTTGATTTGAATGGAGAAAAGTGTGTCCTGCACTCAAATGGAATGTGTGCATTGCATTGAAATGGGTAGTATGACAATTGAATATCTTAGATCTGTGCAAACAGCGAGGGACAAAGCAGCGCAGCATGTTGAAAAGACAAGAGTCGATGCAGCCCAGGCTCGGTTCCAGACGCGCTATTATCCAAAGGTCAGCAGGTCACGTCTTAACAAACGGATAAATAATATGAGGTGCTTTCCTGAGGTTGAAATGCAACTAAAACAGTGACTGGAATTTAAAGAGATCTCTGCAAAACAAAGCTCTGCAGTTTTCCTGTTAACGGATACTACGAGGAATGCTTGGATTTGAATTTGGATCTCGATGTACTAAATGGTTTCACCTGTTCTCCTGTAGGTTCTGAGAAAGTTCTAGTAGTGTTTTCAGCAGGTAGTTGTCATTTTAGTTTCCAGAATGTTCCTCTTTAATGCAATGTTCTTATAACATTTTCCAAATGTTGCGTTAAGAACGTTCTTCCTTTGTCTCGTAACACTGTGAGGAATGTTTGCTAGAAAACATCTTCAGAATATTACAAATGTTCTACTTCAGTTAAAGTGTCACGTTACAGGAACATTTTTTTTTGAATGTTGGTTCTTCTTTTGATATCGTGTAACTTTTTTTGACAACATCCTCCAGTGTTTAATGTCAAACGTTAAAATGTTCTGTCCTAGTTCATTTTCAGTCTCATGGGAGCATTACGTGACATGATGGATATCCTTAAAACGTTCTTTTTTAGTTCACTTTTAACCTCAAATGGACATTATTTGAAATGATAAATCCTGAAAATGTTGTTAGTTTACTTTTACTACTTTTCATTTACAATGATAAATATCCTTAAAACATTCGATTTTAGTTCACTTTTATCCTCACTGGGATATTTTTAAATGATAAATATCCTTACAACGTTCCATCTTGGTTCATATTCAGCCTCATAGGAACATTATTTACGATGATAAATATCCTTAAAACGTTCTGTTTTAGGTCACTTTTATCCCCATAGGAATAATATTTAAAATGATAAATATCCCTGTAACGTTCTGTCATGGTTCATTTTCAACCGCATAGGAACACTATTTAAACTGATAAATATCCTTAAAATGTTCTATTTTAGTTCACTTTTAACTTCAGTGGAACATCTTTAAATGATAAATATCCTTACAACGTTCTGTCATGGTTCATTTTCAACCTCATAGGAACATCATTTAAAATGACAAGTATCCCGAAAACATTCTATTTTAGTTCACTTTTATCCTCATAGGAACATTATTTGAAATTACAAATATCCTTACAACATTATTTCAACATCTGAATTAAGGTTTTCTTTAAAACATTAGTACAACATGTATGTAATGTCAGCTGAAGCTCTGCTTGCTGGGCTATCATTTGTTGTGCCGCACTGCACAAATATCCTGCATCTTGGAGACGTTTTGTTGGCACAGTGGCACCAGTAGCGCTAATTTAAACTTTATACAGTGAACACAACTGTATTTGTCAACGTCTGTCGCTCCCATAAAGGGGAGTTTCTCACTTCACACCCAGGACAGACCTCATCAGTCTGAGGCGCTGACCCAATTCAGCTTTAGTTTCATCATCATTTTAAGGCCTGTCTTGGCACATTGACTGCATGTGCCATCATATCTTCTTTATTTTTAGGCCTTTTTCCTCACTGGCATGTAACAGGAGAAAGAGCACAGGTGTAAAAATAAAAATCCAATTATTAATGGTCCTGGCTGACTGAGACGTTTGAATAAAAACAGAGCTACCATTCACGTCATTAGCATCACCTGTGCTGCTGTGTGTGTTGACATCCAGTCACTTTTACATGAAGCATCTCGAGTTAAAAAGACGTCACTCCTCTGTTATATCAGGCAAACGTTTTTTTCCAGTGCTTCTTGTGATATATTTTTTTGCAGTTTTGGCATTTAACTACGGCCCGGAGGATCCAGTCAGTCAGGGTCCTAATTACTCTCTTTGCTACGAAGGGCAACGTGCTCATTTTTTGGGGTCGCTTTGTTCAATTGGCGGCCGGCTCATTTCGAATGAAACTCTTCAAGTCAAGTTTAATATGGGAAGGGAATTGCTCGGGCTGTTGAGACTATTCTTATGTGAAAGAGAAGCACCCTCGTGAATGACGTGAAGAACCCTCGTGATGGCAGAAGTCCACATTTCGTGGATACTTGTCAACCTCCATCACGCACTACAGCATTATTATCGCGGAGTGTGTTTAACTGTGTTGTCAGTCTGCTGGAGAGGGTGGATACTTGCAACATGACGGAGAATAAGTGTCTTGTCAACATGGAAATATGATTGATGGCTCATCCATCAAGGTCCTGGGCTGCTACTCAGCCATGTATGATGTCTTCATAGTGTTAGCATATGAATTTACAGGCTGCACCTCAGTGGGATGTAACACGTAAGTAAAAAATGCAAAAAAAGGGGTTTTTCTTCACCAGTGTGGCCTACATATGAGCCGTGTCGAAAAGCCACCATGAAAAACGTGCAATAAGCCCTCGTCGCATAAACTCCAGAAGGATTTTTGCACCATTGTTCAGTTGGTGGTCAGTGCAGCGGTAAACACAGGGATAATAGTCCAGGGCCTATGTAAGGGAGCCTCTTGTATGCCAGACTAAAATGTCAGGCTGCATCCCTGAGAATCGGGGCCAGGCTTAAAGCCCAGTGAATAATCCAGCCTTGGGTGTAATCAGCGTGAAAGAACAAGCCCGAACTCACCACCGAGCTCGACAGAATAGGCTGTTAAAAATACTCACTTCAGTTGTACGACAGCGGGAAAGAAGGAGGGGAAAGAAAAAGAAAAAGAAAAATAAAAAAATGCAAGGCCTCCTTTCCCACCCCGTTTTTGAAGCATCCTCAAAGAGCCAAACCAAGCGCAAACTCGAGACGCCACAACAAACTTTCACATATCCATTCATGTGCTGCAGAGGAAGAGATGAAAACGAGGAAAAATCCTGCCTGCCGCCACACCTGCGCCGCTATATGCTCAGCTGATTTTTCTCTACTCAGAGCTGGCAATGATGGAATAATGCAGCTATTTCTGGTAGTTATTATGGCATAATGATGAAGGTGCGAATCAGTCTTTTGCAGCAAGTACATGCAGCAGCGATACCTGAACAAATGTGTTGCAACATACACACCACAACCAAATGAGCTGCAGAGAAAAAGGCCTTAATGTCAAAAATAAGATGGAAGATTTACTTAAAAACTTTTTTTTTTTTTGCTGTTTTTTCAAGCGCTGGAAGCAGGAAAACAAACACAACTGGCAAAATAATTGCAGTCTCCCCAGGTTAACTGTCTTTCCGAGCGCCTGATTAGCAAAACAAACAAGATTCCATTTTGACAGCAGCCTGTCAGCGCTGTCAAGACGGCACAAAAGCAGAGGTCAAATCTACATTATGCAAAGGCACCTGCGAGCTTTACAACGGTGACAACTTTCGTGTTTTTCTTGTAAGAACCAGTGAGAAACAGTGCGCTTTTATCTGCTTGTTTTTGACTTCAATGTAAAGACCCTGTATGTGCTTGTTTGAAGCTACAGCGCATTAAAATGCGTCTCAAAGATTGAATGCAAAGTAGAATCACAATAACACAAGGCCAACTTTGTATTGCTGCTAAAAAAAAAATTTGCAAGTTAGACACTATGCGGCCTAAAATACTATATTTCCTTGGTTCTGTCTAAGAAGTTGTTGCACTAATTGGATGGGGTGTAATCCAATGCACGGCCTTTCTGATGTGTTGTTCACAATAGTCCGATACTGATGTATTTTCAAGGGGGTTGTTTTTGTCTACAAATACCAAACTCCAATCTGCAAATGAAACTTACATTTCCGTGGAAGCTGTATTTTCCCCTCACTATGGTCTTGTAGAGTCTTGTCCGATTGTCGTCCTCGAACGGCATGGATCCGCTCAGCACAATGTAGGCGATCACCCCCAGAGCCCACATGTCCACCGCGCAGGTATAGGGTTTCCTCAGCAACACTTCAGGGGCCATGTACTCGGGGGTTCCACAGGTGGTCCTCAAAGACCACGACCGGTCTTCTCCAGGTTGTTCCCCAGTTTTAGAAACCTCAGACCCTGCGAGCGTGCCGCCAAAAGTGGCCGATCCAAAGTCCGTCACCAGCAACCTGGAGTCGGCTCCGGGGTGGTAGTACAGAAGGTTCTCGGGCTTCAAGTCTCTGTGGGTGACCCCGAGGTTGTGCAGGTGTCCCACCCCGGCCAGGACCATCTGCAGGGCCCGGGTGGCGTCTCGCTCCGTGAAGTGACCTCTGCTGACCACCCGGTCCAACAGCTCCCCGCCCGTGGCCAGCTCCAGCACCGCGTAGACCCGCCGCGGAAACTGGAACACCTCGATCAGCTGGATCACGTTGGCGTGGTTCACCCGCTGCAGCACCGCCAGCTCCGACGCACACACCTCACGTCCCCGCGGGGCCGCTACCTCCATCATTTTTATGGCGAACGGCTGGCGAGTCGCCCTGTGCTCGGCGCGCACCACGCGGCTGAAGCTTCCACGACCAATCAGAGCCTTGATGTCATATCTGACAGGGCAGAAGGGGAATGATGACTCATTACAGCATAACCACCGGATGATACACTGTTGCGGCGCACTCACTGTCTCGCGCCGCAGCTGCAGCCGTGATGTATGGGCAGATATCTGTTGCGGCGCGCTACACGGCATGCAAAGTCGATCAAACAAACTCGTGCGATTCTGATTTAGATCACCAATGAACAAGGCAATATTTTACCCCAGCTGTGACTTATCAGATGTAGAGAGAGAGATGCACTCGCCTTCAAAAAGACATCCGTTTTCTTGCTTTAATTGTTTTCTAAGCTTTTATCTGACAAGAACAGGAAGGCAGTCTTCAGGTATTACAAGGCCCGGGTCCTCTCAAATGAATGTCTGCTATTATTGCATGGAGGTTGGTAGAGCCACGCTGAAAAGAATAAGAAAGCCAGTGCCGTTAAAAGGCTCCCGTGAGGATTGCAAAGACTCTTAACTTATTTCACCTTGTGTTGTGCTGCAATAAATTCCTGTTGCCAAATGCTGGCCTTAAAAAATAATGGCTGTGAGCTGCACTGTCAGTTGCTATTGGCATTGATTCCAACACTCTTTACTGTCAGTTCCAATGCAAAAATATACAATGTCATTGGATTTAAGTACCTGTTAGAGATTACTTGGAAAAGGCTGTCCCAGGAGAATTTTATTTGGAGTTATCGCAGATCTTTATACTTGAAACGTGGACTTTAAAATGTGCTCTTTACCGTGCAGTGACACGTGGCTCAAACGTGTCCTTATAGCTGGCAGCTTTGTCCCGTTCTCGTCTTTGCGTGAATTGCTGTCGGCCGCTCGATGTCGGTCGAGGACCGTCGTCGCTGTTGGAAAACCACGGGCCTCTTCGCTTCTCTTTGTGCTTCTTCGGCTCATCACCTTCATGTCTTTTACTAAAAACCACGAGCGACTGCACCACGCTGACGTAGCCCTTCTTGGACGCCTCGGGCAGCACCTTACTGTTCCCACAGCCCATCGCTCAGCTGGAAGCAACCATCACCAATGGAGGGAACAACAAAAAAAAAAAATCCAACATCTGCTGCAAGAGTCTACATGGCTGCAGCTTCTTTCTGCTTGAGTTGTGTAACTAACAACAGTAAAGCTCCACCTAACCAGCAGGTTGGAGGTTGGCAGGTGTGTGAACTCACACTCACTTGTGACGCAAACAGAAGCTGGTTTGAAGCTATTGTCAGTCCTCATAGTGTGGATGGTCACAGTGGTAGCAGGTGCGGAGGGTGAAAGGAGCCAAAACTCTAGTTACATGTCACAAAACATATTTTAAATAATAAAAAAGCCCCACATATGGTTTTAAAGAACATCAATGGCGCTAAAAATGGCTTCCACTTTTTTTTATGTGAAGGTATGTCAGTAAAAAACTATTAATTCCACTTTCATTCCAGTAATTTCAGAGGTAAATATTGTCATTTTTCACTCCACTAATTTCATTTGGCAGCTATAGTAATTGGATAGTTTTTGGATCAAAGGGGCACTTGTGCAATTTGCTGTCGCATTTTCATAAAGTAGAGACAGCTCAGAAAGAGAAGAGGGAAATCAAAGCAGCAGACCCGTCATTTCCATACTATTTCCACTGATTTAACCATTTGAGGCATCGTAATATGGAGCGATGAAAAAAAACAACCAGACCAACGCCCACTGTAGCAGGACTAGTGATTAGCCAATCAGTGTCTTGTTTGTCAGTGTCAACAACAGAATATACAACTGACCTGATGAGAGCATGTACTCTACAGAGACAGCATGGATTCTCATTACTGCCAGACATTTGCAGTTTGCTTTTATTTCACATCGCTTCACTCTTAAAACCAAAGCAAAAATCATTAGGTTGGCGCGGCTATGCATCAGTATTGACTTAACCCTTTGAGCCTCGGGCTGTTTTCAGGGTAATTTCACTACCTTTGCTTTGAAGCTCTTATCTTGGTCATTATAAGGGCTGCTAATACATGCTGCATCTTGCTTTTGTTTATTTTACAGCAGTGGTCTCGCTATCCATATCATCCAGCAGCTATTTTATAATAGCCTTTATAGCAAAGGTTTTTTTATTATGAAATTGCTGTTTTTACATGTTATCTCACCGTAAAATGCTGGTGGTAGAGTTTTCAAAATTACATAATTGAGAAAAACAAGTCCTTCCTTCATTGTTTTATTCCCTGAAGTCTTCATGTACAGTAAACTACATGCAGATGTAACCAACAAGGAAAATGTTTGCCATCTTTTGAGCATCACTTTTCAATCATTGCAATAAAAACACAAATTTGGCGTTTGTTTTTCATGCAAAGTGGGATGTAATGTCAGAAATTTCCTCTACCTTCGAAACTATTTGGGATAAAAACATAGAAACAACCACTACTATTGGACATATAATATAATATATATATAAATATTACAGTGAGGGCTTCTAACTAATTCAACTGAGAAGCAGCGGAGTAAAAACGGGCGAGGAAATTGCCCTCATAACGGTATGTTCAAATATGTAGCCCATTTGAATATGTGCTTCCTCTTGTGATGGCTTTAAAATAAAATTGCGAGATATGAACGTACAACATCCACGCAATGACGAGTTCACGAGTAATCCAAACAAGAATAATAGGTGTGCAGATTGATGCATCGCCGTGTGCAGGTTGTAACTATGAATAAATTTGATTCGAAATGATTTTTTTCTCCGGAACACTTTGTCACGCGGACAAGCGACTAATATTACTGGAAAAGGTCAAGGTTAATTCGATACGTTCTGCGAGCTCGCCGCAATAAATACAGCTCGAAACAAGGGGAAGGGGTGTGTAGATTTGGACGCCGTGTGCAATCCGTCAGGCTCTAAGGGTTAAAATGACCAGAGTTTCATGCAGGTACCCGAGTCTCCAGTGATGAGTTAACAATTCTGTCTGAAAATGTGCCACTGCCTCCTATATCATGTAGCTCAGCACGATCCTGGTGACATCATCAGGTTTATTTTTTTTTCCCCTTAACTTTTGGAAAGCTCCCTCCAAAGCCACGGGAGACATTACGCAACAGGCTGGATGCCTTTTGAAAAAAGAAAACCGAACTTCATGTGTAAAATTGGTGGTTTATACACTTGCCAAGCGGTAGGTCTTTTGTGGGAATAATCCTGCTGGCACACTGGAAATGGTGCCTCCCCCCCTTCATACCCCTCATGCAGCAAACTCAGATGTATTTTTTAAAATAAATACAAGAAAATGAAAAGGCAGAAAGGACGCTAGCAGGTAGCACTTACAAAGCAACACCTACACAAACTTTAGAAAATTGCGAAACAAGCTCTGATTGATGGATGTTGTGCATAACCGCATTACAAAGCATCAAGTATCATAAAGACGGTCTATAGGTGTTATCCTCCCATAAATAAAAAAATATGCCTCCTTTTGGATAGAGGCTCTGCAAATCATCCTAAATGCATAAACATGCCGCGCAATTTATTCATAAACATGAACTCATTATACCAAACCTCATATAAACACATTATTTCTGTGCTGCTCCAGTGAAAAAGAATAATTTAAAGTCGGCGTACAGCGCACTTGTGGTAAAAAGAAAAAGAGGTGTCTTCTTTCCCTGCTTTTGATTCCTCGCTTCTGCTCTTCTGCCTCGTACGAATAAATATGTGCATGTGCTTTTTTTTTGTGTGTGTGTTGTTTTTCTGCAAAGTTTAGCTCTTTTAAACAATGTACTGGGCAGAGGCAGGCGAGGAGCAGGCTGCATGTTGTTTGCTTTTTTTTTTTTTGTTTTCTCTTCCTCCCCCTGTACTGTTCTCTGAAGATTATGGACACATGATGACAGCAGCAACAACATAATGCAGGAAATAGAGAAAAGTTTGCAGGGCTTGACAGGGACACAGGATGCCACGGTGGGCTTAGCAATGCGGTAAACATTACCTCCTGCAGGTAGAAGTTAGGAATCCGGGAGGTATAAAAGTGCACAGCAAAAATGCGCAAATGTGGGGGGAAAAAAAAAAAAAAGCTTTCATGATATGAGTGGAGGTTTAGTCATTATTGCGTTATGTTCGGTGGCAGTTATGAGGGAGGGAAGTGTTTATTTATATGAAAATGTCAAAGATGCTATTACACATTGCTGTGTCTTTTCAAAAGGTGCAAATTGTGTTTTCACTTGACAGAGAATCAGGCTGCATCATCGGTTGCTTGTCTGCTGCAGTTATTTTTTTATTTTTTTTTCACCAGAGGAGCCGAAGGGGATTCTGGGCCTATCAGTCTGTTCTGCTGTCACACGCTGTCTATCGCCTTTCTCAGAGGACTGTACACACAAATAACGGCGAAAGTAGAGAGAGCGGCACAGAAACCCCTCCGCAGACAGACACGCACAGCCAACGGAGGATAGACATCACATCAGCACTGAGGTGGTAAATCGCCCTTCAGAAGCCTTCCTCAAGGGAGTCAGCAGTTCAGCGTTTATCGAACCACTATCTGATTACTAAAAGGCTGTCCTCGGTTATAAATGAACCCGCAACATGTGTGTGGTGTTGGTAACGCCGGGGCCTTGGGAGTGAAAAGCCATTATGGGCTGCCGTGAATCAGTTTAGGCCAGAGGAGCGGTCAGAGCGCAGCTGCCACTTGCCAGTCAGTTCATTACTGCTGTTATTGTAGTCGGAGGACGCGATACCTGCGCGAGAGTGGACTGGAGCCGGCGCGAACTAAAAGCTGCGGATTGAAGTGGCTCGGGAAGCGCAGGGCGAGTGAAAGGTTGCAAAAGAGCTGCTCTTCCTGGGTTGAGAGTTAAAAAAAAAAAAAGGGTTTGGAAAAAAGAGAAAATGTTTCAATGAACACTTGAACTTTGAAAAATGTAAGCTTTAGGTGGGCGAGACGGCATGGTGACTATTTTTGGTGTGCACTTAACGTGACAACTCGCAGGGATGATTTAGGGGAAAAAAAAACTCCCAGTGGTTGCATAATTCATCCTTTCCTTACCTTGCCTGAACTAATACACGGGATATAAAACTGCACATTCATGTGGTCTGCAGCTGTTTTTTTTACTATCAGGCCTTTTCATTCTGATTAAGTAGAAATTTAAACGCTACAGTATTCAGTGATATCTCCCAACAACGGTTTGGTCTTTCATTCTTTCACCATCACGATGCCCCCTGTGCACATGAAGAAATACTTTTTTCCTGGCCTGCGCAGAACCTTGACCTCAGCGGCATCCAACAGCTCTGGGATAAATTCGAGACTGCGAGTCAGACCTTATCACCCGGCATCACGAATGCTCTCGTGTTTGAATGGGATCCAGTCCTCGCAGCCAGGTTTCAGCAGTGTGTAGGCTGCTGGAGTGGCATATTAATGCCCATGCTTTAGTCATGTTCGTTATGCAGCTACTTTGATCACACACAAGTACGTCGGCGTCAACCTAAAGAACTTCACAGATATTATTATACTCTGCTGTTCTGACTGCTTTTTCAGAGGCTCGAGTGTTTTTATGGGGAGGATTTTAATCATTTTGATTTGGAATTTCTTCATGAAAGATTTAAATGTGCTGAATATTTAATCTGCCGAGATCAAATCAAGTTTATTAAAAAGAATTTGCAGACCAAGGATATTGAGAATAATATAGTACCTAAAATAGAGCCTTGTGGTACTCCGCAGGAGACAGGTGAAAGCAAGAAGAGAGATTAGTAGCTCTAACTGAAACAAAATCAGGTTTTATTCACTATAAACAGCTGATGCTCAATCAAAACAAGTTTATTAAAAAGAATTTGCAGACCGAGGATATTGAGAATAATATAGTACCTAAAATGGAGCCTTGAGGTACTCCGCAGGAGACAGGTGAGAGCAAAACGAGAGATTAGTAGCTTGAACTGAAACAAAACCAGGTTTTATTCACCATAAACAGCAGATGCTTAATCAAAGCAAGTTTATTAAAAAGAATTTGCAGACTGAGGATATTGAGAATAATATAGTACCTAAAATAGAGCCCTGTGGTACTCCGCAGGAGCCATGTGAG